GTAATATTGTAACCAAAGATAATATTAATTTTACTGATGCAAAGAAGTCACAGTTACATAATAATGATAAGATAATGACAAACAGCAGTGATAATAAAAATTTTGAAGATGTAACAATATCCACAGAGCCGTGTGAATTACATCAAACACACATTACACATTGATGAAAACTGTTCATTTTCCCAGTCTGATACAAACATAAGTTCAAATGTACAACCTGATCAGTTAGAACATAGAAATTATTTGGATGATACTGTCAAGTTAAAAAATTTTTTGACACAATGGGCTTTAAAAAACTGCATTACACATACTGCACTACCCACATTGTTGCAGGAATTAAAAAGTTATCAATGCTTTTCTACATTACCTCAGGATGCAAGAACATTGCTTAGTACACCATTACAATATACTGTAAAAACAATTGAGCCTGGAGAATACATACATTTTGGCTTAAGTGCCGGCATAAAAAATTCAATTGAAGAACAAACTTTAACAGCAACTACTATTGAAGTAGCAATTAATATAGATGGTCTTCCACTAAGTAAATCTTCCAATAATTCGTTTTGGCCAATTTTGGGGTCTATTTTACCCTATGGAAAAGTTTTCATTATCGGAGTTTACTATGGTGAAGAGAAACCGAAAAACGTTAATGATTTTTTGTCTGAAACGATAGATTTGTATGCAAATGGAATTTTAATCAATAATTCTCAATATCTATTTAAAATTAAATATTTTATATGTGATACTCCTAGAGCTGTGCGCCGCCACGCCACGCCGCCACCGCTGGTGGAACTAGACGCGCCGCCGCCGTCGAATATTTAGGCAGTCACGCCGTGGCACGCAGCGTGCCAGGCGTACGATAGTCATTTTATTATTTTCTAACCATACTTGACGACGATGACAACAGTCGCATATATGGACTCGCATATTTGGTTATTTCGGCTTATTTCTGCAGCTTATTTCAGCTACGTACGAGTATTTCCCAAATCACAAATATCATTATCAAGTCTTTAAGGAATTGATAGATTGTGATATTTTAGATTATAAATATTTATCATTCGTGATTCGATAAAACATATAATTACGCATGTAAGTACTACACAAATTAATGTTAAAAGAAAATTTTTTTAAATATCTTGGCATGTTTTTTATTGGCACATGAAAAAAATGTTTTTATGTAGCTGTCATTCTTTACACCATTGTTATCGTTTAGATCGGACTATTTTTAAAATGGACAAAGAAAATGTTTTCAACAGACCGATAAAGGACTTTGAGATTACCTTACTGTACAACACTAATACAAAAACAAGCTTTGCATGGCAGAACTTTGGAACGCTAATATTGAAAGATGGGGATAAGAAAGTCGCAATCCAAAGTTTTTTGTCAATCTTGCTTGAAAACAGCTTAAAAAGCGTCAGAATCAAAAGAAAATGAAGAATCATTTTCAAGGTTTGATTTATATTATTTTAACGTATAATAAAAATTCATACTCTACATACAAGAAAAATTCCTTTTTAAATATTGTAGTAACTTGTAAGTTGTAATACGAAACAAATATTTTGTGACAAATTGATATGAAAGTTTATGTGACTGGTTTGGAGTTTTCATAATTTTTTTTACTTATCGTAGATCGTAGATCGTATCGATTTTAATAATTTTTTCAACGATTTTATTATTTTAAATAAACATTTTTTAAATTATAATTTATTACAAAAGTTTTTATATTTTGTTTTTGTTTACGTTTTAGTTTCGCCATTAAATCGTACAATAATACTATCAGTGCCGGAAATCTCATAAGACATTTAGCAGATTCTCATGACATCAGAGAAGTTAGAAGAAAAGTCGTTGAAAATAAATTGACGAATTTATTTGCCGCTCGTCCCAAGAATCCGTTAATGAAAGAAAATGATAAAAAATGGTTATTTGATAGACATTTAGTATTAATGGCATGTAGAGACTTACTACCATTTACCATTGTAGAAAATGAAGGATTCCGAGATTTTTTAAAAAAATATAACGTAATTAAAGACGTGACAGACTTGCCAGCACGCATGACTTTAAGTCGTACTGCTTTAGAAGACGTTTTTGTTTCTATGAAAGTGCATATAATAGATAAGTACATACACGGTGCAATTAGCAGTGATTGTTGCTTTACCTTCGATATGTGGACAGATAACTATCGTCATAGAAATTATATATGTTTTACGCTTCATTTTATAGATAATTTTGAACTTAAAAGTATAACTTTAGGCAACAAACTAATCATTGGAAAACATACTGCAGAGAAAATCGTATTTCATTTAGACACTGTTAAAGACGAATTTAATCTAAGCAATAAAAAATGTATCATTGTGACTGACAGCGGTTCTAACATGAAAAAGGCTGCTAAAATTTTGAATATCGAAAATCATTTGTGTTTAGGTCATGGTCTTCATAACTTAGTTATTGCTGATGGTGTTAAGAAAAATATACTAGTCAGTGACTTGATTGGAAAAGTGAGAGAAATTGTAAAAGTTTTAAAGTATAAGTTCAGCGACTTAGAGAAAGAAATAGACATTGAACAGCAGAAAGTTCTTCTATCAATAGATAATGCGTCCGAGTATCTAGAAATGAAAGATAATGATCCATTATTTTTAGATTTAGACGAGTTTAATCTTAATGATCCAGACAAAAACAAGGAATTTAATTCATAACCCGACGAATTTAATCAAAGCAGACTTAAAACACCTAAGTTAGATGTACCTACGCGATGGCATAGCATTTTGCTCATGCTGGAAAGTATAAATACAACAGAAATGTAATTAATACTTTGTTAGGACGAATAAGAAAAGAAGATCTAAAATTATCAATATCAGAGTGGCAAACAATTGATGAACTAGTTCATTTTCTAGAAAAAATTAAAAAAATTGTCGAAATATTATCTAGTAATAAAACATATACTCTAAACTTAGTACTTTTATTTAGAAGTGAACTAAAAATGCATTTGTGTTCCAATGAAAATGATTCATTAGTGATAAAGTTAATGAAAAATAGAATGCTTGATAATTTTGATCACAGATTTCCCATTACAGACTTACTCGTCCTAGCTTCCTTGTTAGATCCTAGATTTCAAAACTTAGACAGTGTAAAAGAATATTTTGATTCTCGAAATATCAATCCTTATGAATTTTTGAAGCAACATGCACATGAATATGCTGAAAATAGTGAAAATACAAAAACGGAAAATAATGGAATTAATTGTCGAAAGCAAACAGACATTAACTATATTAAAGGCTTGGCTAGTAAACATTCTTCCTCTATTAATTTAAATGCAAAATGGATTGGAAAAAGAATGCCACATATTATTTAGCAAACATGCACCCTTTAAAAATATTTTAGAATTTTGGAAGAATAGAAAACATGATATGCCTATGTTATCTAAACTGGCAAAAAAAGTATAGATCGGAAGAGCACA